GGCAGAACAGCTCATCACTAAACGCGCCGAAGTGAAAATTTAAATTCAGTCCGCTATAGAAAAATTCATTAATGAAACGCTGACTCAGAAAGAGGTGCCCAACGCATTGAGCATCGCCAACGTTGCCATTACCGATTTTGATTTCTCGGCAGAATTTAATCGCGCGATCGAAGATAAAGTACGTGCTGAGCAGGAAGCCCTGCAGGCAAAAAACGAAAAACTTCGCCGCGTCACTCAGGCAGAAGCTGCAGCAGCGGAACGCACCCTGGCGGCGGACGCAGAAGCCTATCAGATTGAAGTTGCTTCAAAAGCCCGCGCGGATGCCATCCGCAGGGAGGCCGAAGCGTTAAAAGATAACCCCGCTTTAATCCAGCTGCGAATCGCAGAAAAATGGAACGGCAAACTGCCCCAGGTCTCCGGTGGCACTAGTATCCCGCTGCTGAATATTGATGGTTTAGGGAGTGCAAACCCCAACTAGCAGACCTGCTGAAGCCATCTATACTCAGGTCAGGATCCAGGATGTATAGATGTCACAGCTTCAGCAGATTACACCCGTCCACGCAGGCACATTAAAACGTCTGCTGGGTAATCACACCTTTTTCAAGGACGCCTCTGCAAATACGTTTCTGCAGGCACAGAGCTGCGCACACATCCTGACCACTGACACCGATGAACCACTGCTTACCCAGGGCGAAACATCTCCTTATGCCTGGTTTCTGGTGGATGGATCAGTGACGCTGAAACAACAGAACCAACCAGATCGAACACTAACCGCGATGGAGCCTGATGCGGGTTTCCCCATCGCTAATCTACGCCCGGCGAACTACACCGTGCAGCCGGGACTGAAAGCCACCCTGGTACGCATGGAACAGTCGTTCCTGAAAAAGATCAGTCAGAAGCCAAAACCTGCCCGCTTCCTGGGCGGCACCGAAATGGGCGGCGGCAGCTGGCAGAGCCACCGGTTTGCCATTGAGGTCAAACGTCTACAGGCAAGTGGCGACTTCAAGATACCCGCTCTGCCAGGCGTATCTGCACGCATCAGCCATGCCATGCAGGACCCGGATTTTGCTATCAGCGACCTGTCAAAATTGATCGGTGCAGACCCGGCGATTGCTGGCGGTTTGTTAAACATCGCCAATAGCGCTTTGTTTAGAGGGGCGGATTTATGTGAAACGCTGAACGCTGCCATCGTCCGCCTCGGGCTCGCCCAGACCCGCACGTTGGTTATGACACTTGCTGCAAAGTCGCTGTTTTCTGCCCGACGCCCCTGGATTCGAACACGCTTGAATATCATGTGGCGACATGCCGTGGAAGTAGGCGCATACGCAACCGTGCTTGCACGCCTGGATCGCGGTTACGACAACGCCAAAGCGTTACTGTTAGGTCTGCTGCACGAAATCGGCGCTGTGCCAATACTTGAACTGGCAGATCAGTTTCCGGAATTAGAGAACTCGCCAGGTATCCTTGATGCGGTGCTGGCAAATGAAGTGCCTGGTCTTAGCGCACAAACCCTGACCAAATGGGGGCTTCACGATTTTGCAGATGCTGCCCTGCACCAGGAAAACTGGTTCTTTGAGCACGACGAAAAAACAAGCTACACAGATCTTCTGATCGTGGCTCATCTACATGGATTGATCAAAGCGAAACGGTTTAAAGATCTGCCGCGCCTCAACGAAACACCCGCCTTTCAGAACTTAAGCACTGCTGGCCTGTCAGCAAAAGTCAGCCTGACAATTCTGGAAGAAGCTCAGCAGGAGCTTGCTGAATTACGGTCTTTGCTAACGACGTAATTTCCAGGGCGGAATGGCGTCCCAGTCAAAAGGTATAATGCCCTCTTCAACAATCTGAAAAATGCTGGCTTCAGCTTTGCCCTCATCCAGATCCAGAAAACCTATGGTGCCGTACTGGGTGTCATAGTTATGCGGATAGGTGGGTGAACCGGGATTCACGCAATAGATACCATCGATGGTTGCAATAGCTTCACGGTGCGTATCGCCGGATACAATCACGTCAGGTTTACGTTCCGGGAAAAAGCGTTCTACCCAGTGCGCCATAGTGAAGTTAGGCGGTCGTTCCGGCACCGGCACATAGTGTGTCAGGCCAACCCACAAGCCTTCAATCTCCAGCAACCAGGCGTATTTAACGCGAGGGTCTTCTGGCTGCACCGGCCGCCCGCCGCTGCCATCTTCGCCGTTACCACGTGCAGCCGTGACCGGCGCGATTTTCTCCAGCTCATCCAACACATAAAGATCATGGATATCGCCCGCATGAAAAATCATGTCTACATCTGCAAACGCTGGCGCAATCTGTGGCCACAAAGTTTTGCGCGCTTCGGGTATGTGAGTGTCTGAAATTAAACCTATCCGTGTTGCCATATCAGTTTGATTCCACCCTTAATGCTCTACCCAACGCCTTGTTTCCATGTACTGAGGTAAATGCTGTGCCATCCCAGACCTGTTCTCCAGCAACATAAACGCCTGCAACAACTCCATCAGAACGATTCACCAGCTGGTGGCAATCAAACACATCCCGGTAGATGTATCGAATCGAGTCTTCGCCTTTATAGTTGCGCAGCGCTTCAGGATTCAGCAAGGCAAGGTCTGCTTTGGCACCGATATCCAGGCGACCCACATCCAACCCGAAAAATTCAGCAGGCTCACGGGTCAGCCTTTTTAACATATGACTGAACGTTGCCTCGCTGTCGTTAAGGCCGATATGCAACGCCCGCAGGTTGCCATCAAAAAATGCCATATTCGTCACATGGGCGCCACTGTCGTTAAAACCTGGCAGCAGCTTCGGATGCAACAGCAGCTGCTTGACGACCTCAGGATTTCTGTTTGCTGACACATAGTGCCAGTACAGATCCCGGTCGTAATGATTCAGCAGCATCAGAAAAAATTCAGCATCGTCTCGTATGTTTTTGCCTAATGCATCAAACACGCGCTGTTCTTCATCTTCGACAATGCTATCCGGCTGGCGGCACCACAGTTGATAACGATCATAAGCATACTGCAGCGTCTGCCCCACCCAACCGGCTACAGGCACACGGAAGATTTCCATATCGTTCAGATCGCGGGTCAGAAATTCGCGCTCCAGGCGCAGCTTGCGCCGCAGGTGTCCCAGATTAAAACCCGACTTGCCTTTGGACCACATAGCCCGGAAAGCATCTACAAATTCAGGTTCAGCCAGAATCTTTCGGCGCGCTTCAACGTCCTCCAGCTCAGTCTCTATCAAGCGTCGAAGCAGTGGATTAGCTTCCGCCAACGGACTCACCGCCCCTTCTGAATAAATACGAAAAGGTGCGCTGAGCGCCTGCATGCGAAAGTTCCCCTGCAGCAGATCTGTATTGAGCAGATTAGCAAACAAGAGTGCCCGGGCTTTGTTCTGCCGATTGTTAACCGAATCCAGCGCGGCCAGCGCTGTAATTTTCAAAGGCTTCTTATACAGACGCCCGCTGGACAACATAAACAGTTTTACCGTGAGGGCGCCATTATCCGTGGCCGGCGTCATCTGCCAGACGCGATCGTGTTTACGCACAACATCAGTCAACGTTTTATATTCATCAAAAGAGGCGTATTGAGTAGGAATACGTTTGTCCACATGAGGTTGGTTGGCCAGAAAATGCAGCGGCAGTCCATCGGTGGATAAGCCGAGGTACCCCGCCTGCAAACACTCGTCGAGAATCCCCACCATCTTGTCCAGTTCAACCCGGGTAGGATCCCGCGTAATGCTGGCTTCCAGACCCATCACCTCGATGCGCAACATTGAATGTGGCACAAAAGGCGCGATGTTGGCACCCAGGGGCAGCTCATCCAGGTGAGCAAGGTAATCGCGTGGATTGTTCCAGGTGGCTTTATCTGCCGCCTTGGCCAGCACGGTTTTTGGAATATTTTCGACCCGGGCAAAACAGTCAACAATGGGATCCTGTTCTGGCGTACGCTGGGCGCCAAAGGCCAGACCAATGCTGCAATTCCCCACAACCGCACTTGTGGTGCCGTGCCGCACCATCTCCGGCAACCCCGCGTCCAACTCAACTTCCAGGTCTTCGTGGGTGTGTATATCAAGCAGGCCCGGTATCAGCCATTTACCAGCGGCATCCGCAGTGGCTGCCGCGGATTGTTCGGGTAGCTGCGCACCGATGGCTGCAATAACGCCATCTCTGATTGCCACATCTGCCACTTTTCCGGCGGCACCGGTGCCATCAAAAACTTTTGCGTTTTGAATCACCAGATCCCATGGTGCAGACATTATTTTCACTCCTTCAAGCGTGTAACACAGGCAGTCTGGTAGGTTACACTAAGCTGGCTGAACGGTTAACTGGGGAGCAAATCGTTGCAACAGGATGTCTTGGTTGTAGGCGCGGGATTCGCAGGTCTTTACGCGGCGTATCGTTTTCGCAAACTGGGTTTAAAGGTGAAAGTGCTGGAAGCAGGCACAGGTGTGGGCGGCACCTGGTACTGGAACAGGTATCCTGGTGCACGCTGTGATGTCCCCAGCGTCGAATATTCATTTGGTTTTTCGCCGGAGCTAGAACAGGAGTGGCACTGGCCCGAAGTTTTTTCTGCACAGCCGGACATTCTCAACTACGCCGAGCATATTGCTGAACGCTTCGACCTTTACCCGCATATCCAATTCAACACTCGGGTCACTGCCGTTGACTATGACGAGAAGCAAAACGTCTGGCACCTGACAACGGAGCACACCGAAATATTCAGTGCGCAATTCTGTGTGATGGCCACCGGCTGTCTGTCGGTGCCTAACAAGCCGCAGATCCCGGGTCAGGAAGATTTTTCCGGCCAGACCCTGCACACAGGTTTGTGGCCTAAAGATCCGGTTGACCTGAGCGGCAAGCGTGTGGGTGTCATAGGCACCGGCTCCTCCGGCGTACAGGCTATCCCGGAGCTCGCCCAGCAGGCAGAAGAACTTTATGTGTTTCAACGCAGCCCGGTCTTTACCGTACCTGCCAACCGCAAAGCCATGCGCCAGGAAGTCGAACAGGTATTTAAGCAAAACTATCGCCGTATCCGCGAGATGCAGCAGAAAAATCCAGGTGGCGTCTCAAACTTTCGACCTTCTCAGGCCAACACAACAGCGCCAGCGGAAGCCGCCGAACCCAAGCTCATCAAAAAACTTTCTGCAGCAGAGCGGCAGGCTCGCGTTAAACAGCACGGTTTAAACGAACTGTTAACCTACCGCGACGTGTACACAGACATCGAAGCCAACAACATTGCCAACGATCTGTTTGCTGATGAAATCCGCGACATGATCACTGACCCCAAAACCGCGGAAGGCCTGGTGCCTCGAGGTTATGGCATCGGTTGTAAACGCCAGGTTCTGGATCGCGACTATTACGACACATTTAACCGTGACAACGTCACCCTCATCGATCTGCGCGATGATCCCATCGAGACCATCACGCCCACAGGTATAAGTACCTCAAAGCAGGATATCGACCTCGACGTAATTGTTTACGCAACCGGCTTTGACGCCATGACCGGGGCGCTGACAAAAGCCAACATCACCGGCAGAGACGGTTTCAAGCTCACAGATAAATGGCAATACGGTCCCCAGGCATTTCTCGGCTTGCAGATCGCCGGGTTCCCGAACCTGTTTACCGTCACCGGACCCGGCAGCCCGTCAGTGTTATGCAATATGCTCATCGCCATTGAGCAGCATATCAACTGGATCGGCGATTGTATGATCCACCTGCGCAGCAACAACCTCGCCGGCATAGAGGCCAGGGAGGAAGCGGAACTTGAATGGGTTGAACATGTCAACGAAGTGGCGCAGGGCACCATGTATACAACGCCCAGCTGCAACTCCTGGTATCTGGGCGCCAACATACCCGGTAAGCCGCGTATATTCATGCCTTATGTCGGCGGCTATCCGCGCTACAAACAACGCTGTGACGATGCCGCTGCAAGCGGCTACAGCGAATTCACTCTTTTTTAAACCCTTTTTCGCACACTCGAGCAATAAGATGACTTTGACACGACAGCAATCCCTGGCCCAGTTGACAGCACCTGGACAACCCCACGAAATTCAGCCGCTTACCATCAACAACGTACCTTGCCGGGTGTTTGCAAACGCGCCTAAGTCCCTGCGCGAGCTGTTTGCCGATAACGTCAGCGATGCAACGTTCATGGTCTACGAAGACGAGCGATATACCTTTGCGCAGATGTACACCCAGGCCTGCCAGCTGGCTACCACGCTGGTCAATCAATATGGCGTAGTCAAAGGTGACCGCGTGGCGATCTCCATGCGCAACTATCCGGAGTGGGTGGTCGGGTTTACCGCTGCTACCTCCATCGGCGCAATCGCTGTAGCCATGAACGCCTGGTGGGAAAGTGATGAGATTGCCGAAGGTTTAAAAGACTGTGGCGCGAAAGTTATTCTGGCTGATCGTGAACGCCTGGAACGCCTCAGCAGCATTATTGATCAGGTTGACGTTCAGGTCATTGCCGTTCGTCCAGGTGACGACAACCAGCTGGGTACGGACATCAAAGATCTGCTCTCTCAACAGGCCGAAGATTGTCCAATGCCTGAGGTAGAAGTGCTGCCAGAAGACCCGGCCACCATTTTCTACACCTCCGGCTCCACTGGTTTTCCAAAAGGCGCCGTATCGACCCATCGCAATATACTCAGCGCTTTGTTGTCCTGGGAGCTTGATCAGTTGAGCGGCATGTTAATGGCCGGTATTGAACCTCCCGAGCCAACGGAAACAACCGAGCAGCCTGCGACCCTCCTGGCTGTACCGCTGTTCCATGCAACAGGTTCGCATGCGGTTTTTCTGTCCTGTTATCGCAGTCAGCGCAAGCTGGTATCCATGTATAAATGGGACGCCGACGCAGCTGCGCAGCTCATAGAGAAAGAAAAGATCTCTTCTTTTGTTGCCCCGGCAGCCATGACTGGCGACCTGGTGCAGGCAGCTAAACGATCCAGCTATGATCTTGGCTCTTTGCTCACAGTCGGCGGCGGCGGCGCACCTCGTGCACCGGAACAGGTTAAAGACATTAAAGCCTCAATCGCCACGGCAATGCCCAATACCGGTTGGGGTATGACAGAGACAAACGCCATAGGTACCGGCATTGGTGGTGAAGACTATCTGAACAGACCCGCCAGTTCCGGCCGCGTATCTGCGGTTCTGGATCTGAAAATCATCGACGAGGCAGGCAACGAGCTCCCGGCGGGGCAACGCGGCGAGCTGCTGATACGTGGCGTTTCCGTCATTCACGGTTACTGGCGCAGACCCGAGGCAAACGCAGAAACGTTTGTTGACGGCTGGCTGCGCACTGGCGACGTGGCCTATATCGACGATGAGGGCTACCTGTTTATCGTCGACCGGATAAAAGATCTGATTATCAGAGGTGGCGAAAACATTGGCTGCGGCGAGGTCGAGGCGGCACTGGTGGAACATCCGCTGGTCATCGAAGCTTCCGTATACGCTATTCCAGATGAGCGCCTGGGAGAAGAAGTAGGCGCCACAGTTTATGCACAACAGGGCTTGCTGGAGAACGATCTACGCCTGTTTCTAAATGCCCATCTGGCAAAGTTCAAGATCCCGGCGGCTATCCAGATTGTGCATGAACCCCTGCCGCGTATTGCCTCAGGCAAAATTTTCAAACGCCAGTTGCGCGATCAGACTATAGAAGCACTGGCGGCGAAGTAACCGGACGACATGTTTTATTCGAAGTGATCTAAGTCGGTGCGGGTTCGCTTTCGCGAGTCCGATCAGTGGTTCGCACCGAGGGAATAAACAGCACAGCCAACAAGGTCAGCACCACAAACGCCGCGCCGCTGGACATCAGCGCAGCACCAACACCGTAGTGTTCTGCGATCCAACTCACCGGGAACACACCTAACGGCATTAATCCGTGCGACATCATATCGATGCTCATGATGCGTCCGCGCATATGGTTATCTACCTGCATCTGCAACATGCCGCGGTTCAGGGACATGTTCCAACTGCTGGTCCAGCCGACGGCGGCTATCAGCACAAAGACAAGCCAGTGTGCTTGGGACCAGCCAAACAAGGCCGTCAGACCACCCCAGCCAATACAGGTCACTATCAACCAGACTGCTTTGTTCTTCAGGTCGCCCATGGATGCCATCATCAGCGAGCCAACAATCGCACCCAGCCCCATGGCTGAAACCAGAAAACCAAGATCATCGGGGCCGCCACCCATGACCTGTTCGTTGAAAGCCGGTAGCAGCGTATTTAACGGCATACCAAACAGGAATGGGACAATCGACAGAATGATGAGCCCAAATATAGGAGGATGTTGCAGCACATAAGCCAGACCTTCGCGGACATCTGTCCAGGCATTAGCCTTAGAAGCCTGTTTGGCTTTGCCGCTTTTATCAATCAGCAACATGGTCAGCGCTGATATACCGTAGAGGCTGGCAATCACGATATACACCACACCCACACCAAAAGTAGATGTTTTATCACCGCCGGCAATCATGGCGATCAGCAGACCAGCCAGCGCCGGACCAACAATGCGCGCCAGATTCCAGCCAGTGGTATTAAGACCCATAGCGGCAAACAACAGATGATCAGGGATCAATTCCGGCACAAATGCCTGCCGCGCAGGCATGGACAAGGCTAGAATGGTGCCATTGAAGAAACCGAACCAGATGAAATCCCAGAAGGTCACCGAGCCGGCAAAGATAATCACGGCCATGAAAATGGTTGCCGCGCAGTTTAGCGCCTGCGCCCAGACAATGACTTTTTTCTTCTGCATCCGATCCGCCAGCACACCACCGTAGAGCGAAAACAAAACCGTTGGCAACATAAAGGACATGGTTACCCAGGCTAGGTCCAGCGGTGATTCAGTCAGTTCATACACCAGCCAGCCGCGGGCGATGATCTGCATATTCATGGCAAATGACGAACCCAGACTGCCCACCCAGAGCCATAGAAAATTTCTGTGCGACAGCACATGACGAATATCGCGGGTAGCCAAAATAGATCCGATCGGAAGCAGGCCACAGATATTAACACACTCCGAATCTTCCTCTTGAAACACACCTCCATCACTCTGCCTGGCGTGAACACTTCAATTGCTGCACTATAAGTTCCAATACTTTCTTTCAAACCGGAGTAGAGCGATGCGATTGGGTGCTGTGTTATACGAAGATTTTGAACTGCTGGACGCTTACGGCCCGCTGGAAATGTTTGGCTGCTTAGCGGAAGACATTGAGACAGTAGTGATTGCCGAGCAAAAAGGCCCGGTGAAATCTACCGG